CCCCCCCCCCCCCCCCCCCCGGGTTACCCCAAAAAGGGGGAGGGTCTTGGAATGGTTTAGGGTTCAATGTGCTAGGCTTTGGGGGTTGTAAAGTGCTTCAGTTGTAGGGTTTAGGGTATAGCGCTTCTTTTTTAGGGTTTGGAGTGTAGGGCTTGAGGGGTTAAGGTTTTGGGGTTTAGAGGAGTTATCTTCCGTGAAGCTTGACAGCAAAGGATCTGTTGTCCGTTGTTGTCTGTGTTCCGCACAGGCGTGCCGCCGGGCTTGTGGCTCCTGTGCACGACATAGATGAAGCGGGGGTTTGGGGTTTAGAGGTTACGGGGCTTCTGCTACAGGAATCCAACAGAGACACGCCACACGTGCACTCCACCCATCTTCCTCACGAGCCTTATAGCCTCAATGTGAAGCCCATGGTCTTTAAAACCCTGCATATGCTGTAGAAGCATTAACGGTCTGTAAACCACCATTGAAAACAGAGAACCTCCTCCAACAACATAAGACCATGTAAGACCTGTATTTATTCCAGGCTTCAAGCCCAAAATAGGCGACTATAAATCCACGGGCCCTACTTAGGCATCATGCGTGTGCAATACCGTGTTTCGGGCGTCGGGGTTAAACCGTCAAGGTGTAGGATTTGGGGTGCTTTGGGTTGGAGGCTGCGTGTCTCATATCTACACCCTGTACCCGTGCTGGGTCCAGAAGCCAGTCTTGTCCATGCGGACCCAGTGGAAATTCGTGTCTGGCCAGACGAACCTTTCTCAATACTTTCATGGGTTTTGCATGGTTTTGCCTGTTTCTTATGGTGTTGCACAGGGCGCTACAGAGCTTGGCAGAGTTTTGCGGGTGAACTTCTGCTTCAACCCAAGCCCACGGGAGCTGATACCAAAGCTGACACCTGACACCCAAATGTGAAAGTTAACAGACCCTGAACCCTGAACCCTAAACCCTAAACATAACATCCCCAAAACACAAAGACAAGATCACTTTTCAAATCCGATGGGGGGGCGTTGCAGTACTCATGTTACGATGAGGATACCACTTCTGCTAGATTAGGTCTGACGAAGGAACACAACTAAAACTACCCGACATCCTAAAACTCTAAACCCTAAACCTCAACCCTAAACCCCAGGACCCCCTAAGCCCCTGAGCCCAGAAGCCACAAAGGCTCCATTATGCTCCATTAATCATTGGAATGAAATTTGAAGGTATATTATACTATAATTATAAACGCTCCTTGACCCTGTTCACGCGCGCGCGGCAAGACAGACAAGCGTTTTAAATTTGTATTGTAAATACCAGGAAAAACACAATATTTATGTTGATTTGCCTGGGTGTGGAAATCACACGTTTCTGCGGCCAACGCGTTAAAAACTCGAGTTTTGGCCTCGGAGCAGCTGCCAACAAGAGTGTTCGGAAGCTATGAAGATGCCAAGATACTGAATTTTGTGGGGTCTGTAAGTCCAGTACTCTATAAAGCCAAAACCCCAAAAAACCCTAAAATTAAAAACCCTAAAAACCCTAAACCCCGAACCCTAAACCCCAACCGCCCAAGCCCAAGTCAAAACTCTAATCCCTGAGCCCTAAACTTCCCTAAACCCTAAACCCTGAGCTTCCCTAAACTCCTAAACCTCCTTAATCAACCCTAAACCCTAAATCCTATAGGGTTCAGGGTCTAGGGTTTAGGGTTTAGCATCTCTGAGGCTTCTCTGAAAAAGCCGGCTGCTCTAACCTTCTTAGTGGAAGATGAACCTAAACTTCCCTAACCCTGAACCCTAAACCCTGAACCCTTCTACTCTAACTTCTTACCCTGAGGGTCCAAGTGCCCATTATTTACGGACTTTGGGGCGGTTTTGGGTACCTAAAACCATAAATAAGGACTACTTGGACCCTTAGGGTTAATGAACGATCAACCCTAAACCCTAAACCTTAACCGTGGCCTAACTTCTTAGTGAACGAACCGAGGAGCAGGGCCACGTAGTGCCCGGTCTCGGGCGGTCCCTTCGGCAGCTCCGTGCCCTGCCACTGCCTGGTGGCTCGGGGCTTAGGGTTTGAGGTTAACTTAGGGGCCGAGTACCTCAGCCCAAAAAAAGGTTAACCTGTTGAATTATAATAGGTCCATATAAGCCCCAAAAAGGTTAAAGGCTACCACTCAGCCCCTAAGTTTAGGGCTTGGGGCTAAGGGTTTAGGGTATGGGATTTAAGGTTTAGGGTTTATAGGGTATAGGACTCAGGATTTCAGGGTTCAGGGTGTAGGATTTAGGGACATGATTAGGTTACCAGCCAGTAGAAGCAATGAAATCTGAAAAAATAGCAATTCCTTGCAATCCCTGGTGACGGTTCCCGGAACCCTAAACTATAAAGTTCTTCCCGCAATGGTAGCTTAAACTGAAATGTTCCAATTTCAACCAGCTGAAAAACTCTAATACTGCAAAAAGGCCTACCGAACATTTATCCAACTGAAAGATGACTGTAAACCCCCACTCGCTAAGCCCTAGACCCTACACCCTCAACCCTAAACACGAAAGACTCCTAAACCCCCAAACCCTCAACCGCTTCTTAAGGAGATCCCAGTGACAGGCCGTCACTCTCTGCAGCAGCCCGGATGGCATCGCAAGTGTTGGCTTTCCTGGGCTCAGACCCCCCCCTCCCTCTCGGCTTTAGACCCTTAGGGTTTAGGGTTCTTCGGGGTTTCGGGGTTTAGGGTTTAGGGTACCCTAATCTCTCCAAACCCCAAACGGCCCTACACCCCAAAACCCGTAAACCCTGAAGCCCAAGCCGTAGTAGGAGTCGGTGTGTATGTATGATCAGGCTGGGAGTCTCAGGGGGGTTTCTATACTGTAAGCTGAAGGACGAGTGCTACATAGTGCTGATCCTTTGGGCCCCCTATAGTCGGCTGAATTAACGTTGAGGACTGTAGTAGTTGAGGATTTCGGCTGTTGGGTTTCGGGGATTAGGGGTTCAGTGTCGGGTTTAGGGGTTTAGGGCTTGGGGGTGTAACGGTTAGGGTCAGGGTCAGGAATTCAGCTGCCGTCACGAAGATGGTAACTGCTGTATACTGCTTGCTGGCACTGGTTCAATCTCGTTGGATCCAATGCAATGGGTCGAACTTCCTAAGTACCCGAGGAAACAATCCCGCAAGCCTTCAGACTGTTCGAAGCCTAGCGTCTAAGAACTACGATTTAGGCTTCCAGGTTTCAGCGATCAGTTTTACTTCTGCGAAGCAGGGGTTCTTGCAAAGTTGGGCATTCAAGAACTAGGGCCTTTTGTGAAAGTTTTCTGGAAGCCAGGCGAGGGCTGCACCTTCTATTCCTCTAAAATCGACCTGGTTCCCGAAGTTTCAGATCCGAGGGATTGGGCTTCCGGGTTTGGACCGAAGAGTTGGGAGCTTAGGGCTGTTGGGGTTCAGGGCTTTTGGGGGTGTAAGGTTTAGGGGTTTGGGGCTTCTTCAGAGAGGATTCCACTTGTGCCCAGATCCTCGGCCGGGCTGGGCGAAGGTATCCGTGGAGATGTCTGTACCGTAGTTGTAGCAGTTGTTCCTTAGCTCCACTTTCTGGCCCACCCGAGTTTCAGGAAGCCGTTCTAGGTATTGCTGAACACTACTCCGTCTACTGCTACGGCTACCGCTGCCGCTCCTCCTCCTCCTCCTCCTGCTCCTCCTGCTCCTCCTTCTCCTCCTCCTACTGCAGCTACTCTTGCCTGCCACTTCCCACTCGTCCACCACCACCACCACCACCAGCACACGCTGGCTGCTGTGTTACTGCTTCTAGTAGCTGTTACTCCGCCTCCTCCTCCTCCTCCTCATTACCCGGGCTTTGCTGCCATCATCTACATCACTACTTACGTGCTACGAGAGTGGCACCGGGTACATCGAATGAAGGAGGACAAGTCAAGTGCTGAACGAGGAGGCGGGGGGGCCACTGAGACTTTGATACTCAAGATGCTGAGGTCTGTCAAGCGATGACATGTTGAGAAGGGAATAATGACACAGCTTGTTCTGAGAAGCAGCTCAGGCACTGTGATTGGTGACTGACGAAGCAGCCGTGGTCGTCCACGCTGGGGTTGTATGTTGGGACTGTGTCCGGGCCCACCTGGTGCGAGCAGTTTGCAGCGGTCTCCACGGCGCTGTCGTCCATGTCTGGCAGGTCCAACTCGCCAGTGTGGTCTCGAGCTATCTCGTCACGGATGTAGTTGGCGACTGTCTCCGAAATGCTCGGCCGCAGAATCGACAGCAGTAGTACTTCAGCGGGTTGGCAGCCACGCACGACGAAGGTGTTATTGCCAGCACCCTCAACCCAGAAGCCCCGATAGCCCACGGTCACATTGGTGCGCCCGAGCAATGATCCGGCACTGCTGCAACCTGTCGACAGAGAAAAGGGTCTTTGCAGATTGTGGAAAGCACAGCATCCGGAGTTTCAGAAAGCACACCTGCCGATGCAATGTTGAATCAAACCGGTCTTAGATATAGGAACGCCCTAAACCAGGTCCTATACGTTCAACCCCGGCGCCACAGCCTAGAACGGCAGCCTGCCCCACGCAAAATCAAAACAGAGCCTCGAAGGTGGTGTTGCAGATTTGTCAACGCGGCCTGCACAGCTTAGTATATGGGCTTTAATGACTGAAGCGGGGTGTGATAGCATGTAAAAAAGTAGCTCTGAGCACCATAACTAGGCGGGCTTAGAAACTACCCATAGGCCCCATAGTAGTTCCTTTTTGGGAATACCTTATAATATAGGATTCTAAATATAAACCATAAAAAGGAACTACTTAGGGGCCTATGGGTAAATAATCAAACCTACAAATGCTCACAGAGACTCAGAAGGCGTGGATGTGAAGGGACTCGTCCGATGGCTTCAAGAATTCCAGGGACGGGCGTTAGGGCATTTAATTACTGGGTTGTAGTCTTGGGGTCCTGAAAAGTATTTATGAACAGGTACCTCTGTAGAGACCATATAAGGGAAATTGTAAAGTTTCCCAAATTGCCACCTAGATTAAGATTTTAGGGGGTTATGAGTCTGAGATTGGGGCCTTACTAACTAGAGTAAGGTATTGTGGGATTAAGGTATGCTGCAAAATAAGGGCTCAGGAACATGAAGGGACTCGGCCGATGGCTCTTGAAGAGACGGGCGTTAGGGCATTTAATTAACATTTTGGGGGGGGTATGAGTCTGAGATTGGGGCCTTACTAACTAGAGTAAGGTATTGTAGTATTAAGGTGTGCTGAATAATAAGGGCTCAGGAACAGTATTACCGAGTAGTCCGACCTCTACGTTCGCTTTCTGCTTTTTGATGTTACGGTTCCTAGACCCTCCCTGTACCCTCTATTAGACCCTAAATACCCTTAATTTGGGACCATATACCCCTATTTGAGGGTACTTGGAGGGTCCTGGTTTGTGGGTTAAGGCTTTGACTCTAGTAGGGCGGCTTGGCCAAGTCTACCGTAAACCCTAAACCCAGTTTAGGGTTCAGGATTCAGGGTTTAGGAGGTTATCCGGTTTTGGGTTGCGTGTTTACGGGTTGGGGGTGGGGGTCTAGGGATATAGAGTTTAGTGATTGGTAATCGTTGTCTTGCACAAACCCCAAACCTTGTTTTGGCGCTTCAGGTTCGGGTTTAGGTGGACTTGGGTTTTAGGGGTTTTAGAGGTTTCTGGCTTTGGGGTTTCGGGGTTCGGGAGTTTTGGGGTTTCGGGGTGAAAACTGTAGGGTTTAGGGTTTATGGGTTAGGGGTTTAGGGTTTAGGGGTTTGGGAGGTTGGGGTTTGGGAGGTTGGGGCGTACGAATTGTTGGGCCTTAATAATTAGCAGAGGGTTTGGGGGGGGTGCAGGTATAGGGTTTAGGCCTAGGCGTTTGGGTTCAGGGAGCAAGGCTTTGGAATTTGGGACTTGGCTTGGAATGCTGCGAGCTTCGCTTAGATCCTGTGGCCTTCTGAGGAAAATCGACAGAGGCCTAAAGAATGGGGCCTTAATGCTTGGAGTACGGCTGTTGGGTTTAGGGTTTAGGGTTTATTAATTGTACCCATAATTACGTTAAGGGGCCCCCCAAGAACAACAGCAACAAATGATTCAAAATTCTACAATACCCCTGGTCTTCAGGGAGGATCTATACTAGGCACCTGGAAAAGAACAGCCACATAGTGTAGGGCCTGAATAACTAGAACAAGCGTTGGGGTCCTTATACTTTTTTCATGTTTATGGAGTCCCCAGGAATAGTCTTCGAAACTTCCCAGGCTTCTAGATTTAAAACCCGTCCCAACATACCCCAGACATTAGTTGAAGACAGCGCACACTTTCCAAGCTTCCCCTCCCAGACACCCTTAACCCCAAAAACCCTCAAGCCCTAATTCTAAACCCTAAACCCCTAAATCCTAAGTCCTAAACCCTAACCCCTAAACCCCTAAACCCTAAACCTTAATTCTAAAAGCCTCTTCGATGACCAGCTGTGGGTTCGGAGTTCCGGAGAAGACCTTGCTTGTCCTACTAATAGGGCTTAGGGGTTTAGGGTTTTAGAGTTTAGGGTTTATGGCTAAAGGTTTAGGGTTTAAGGTTTAGGGTTTAGGTTCTAGGGTTGAGGGTTTGGGGTTGACTCTAGGTGCTGAGCCCGATATACACCCTAACTCTCGACGCCCCACATCTTAGACTCCCATGTAAAAGCCCTGAACCCTGTAAGATGCGAAACCATAATCGCCACAAGCCCCTACACCAATCGTGCGTCGAATGCACAGACTCCCAGATGTCCAGATGCATACTACCATCATGAAATTGGACCCCAAAAGACCCGGGGACCTCTTTCCAAAATAGTGCGGGCCAAGGAACATAGACCCCTGAACACTTCGAATCCCTAAACCCTAAACCCTACAGGCCCTACACCTTAAACCCTAAACCCTAAAACCCTAAACCCTATTATGAAGCCCTGGAAAACCCACTGAGTCGCAAGGCCTCAACAGGACTTCCTTTTTCAAAAGGTTTGGGACCTAGTAGGGTTTGGGGTTTTGGGTTTGGGGATTAGGGTAGGGAGTTCGGGGTATAGGATTTGAGACGTAGGACTTTTGGATTTGTGGGGGGTTTAGGAAGGTTCTTAGTGGCTTGAGGAACTCCGTGTCTTCGATTGTGATTTTTTGATATCGTTCCTAGACCCCCCTCCAAAACAAAATCTCACCCCCTTCTTCCCAACTACCCGTGGTTCCAGTAAAAGGAGGGGTTTACTGCAAGGAGTTTCGGGTTTAGGGTGCGGGGTGCGGAGAATGGAAACCAATCTCTGTTCAACGGGCTTGAACTGCCTAGCCACGATCGGCGAGATGGTCGCCGCCCTTGCAGCCACAAGCAGCCCGAACAGAGAGCTAGCCGTCAGCAACATGATTGACAGAGCTGCTAAAGACTGGTACTTGAGCCTTCGGCTGCGGCTTCGAACTGAAGGCTATCAGGCTTCAGATTTGGGATTTACTCTGTTGCACATGCCGGGTGACTGCGTCACCGCTTCAGGCTTTAGAGGTTGCGGACCCCCACTCTGAGAACTCGAAGTCTAGGATTTACGTCCCTGTGTGGTGGGTCATCTTGTCTTGGGCCAACTTGGATTCTTTAGAGTTTGGGTTTAATGTCGGTGTTCGTACTACGAGGCTTACGACCAGCAAGCCGCTGACAATCACGCCGAACACCAAACCTGTGGCTAACGACAGGGAACCATCAGGAATAAGAGTCACGCTACTGCTACTTTTCTTCGTTTACAGGTTTCTTAGGGTTTAGGGATTAGGGCATAGTACTTTTCAGATTCCTGAGTTACTCACCATGTAAGTGTGCCCCAATGCATATTGAATTGGTAACTATGCTGCCCCCTACTTATCTCGAAGATCTTGGCGCTGTTGGGGGTTTCCCGGGGAGCTTCTGTGGCACAGCGCCTCGTCGACAATCTGCTGCAGTCTGCTGATGTTGGAGCCAGCCTCCTCGGTGCAAAGTGTTCGGGATTCAGAGTTTGGGAATCCAGATGCCGTGGACACCTCATGAAGCTCTGTCACTATATTTCTGCAGACCTACGTTACATGCCTTGCGCTTCCCGCTCAAGCCTAAAAGCCTTCCACGAAGCATGCGGCCCCTCCCATTTTCCAGTGAGATCAGCGCTTTAGGATGCACCTTCTGAATGACCGCCCGCAGCAACTTCGTTCTCGGGGTGATTGACTCTCGTCTGTAGTTCTTGAATGTACAGAAGAGTTTCGGACTCAAGATGTAGGCAGTCGTAAATCTATACCTCATGTTAGCAACCGAACGCTGAACCGGTGGATGCCGTTTCAAGTAGCTTGAACTTCTAATCGGGGTTGTGCTGCAAAGTACGGGGACTTTCGGAACCCAAACCCTCAACCCTGAACCCTATACCCGAAAACCTAAACTCTAAACCCTAAACCCTATACCAGAAAACCTAAACTCTAAACCCCAAACCCTAAACCTACAGAGGAGTGCTGGGAAGTTCCGGCTCAACCATCCAAGCTTCTGCGAGCGACTCGGCCAAAATGCTCCGCTGTTGCTCTGCCTGGGGCAACTCGAGGCTTTAGGGTTTACACTCTATATAGTTTAGGGTTTAGGATTTAGGGATTAGGGGTTTAGGGTTAGGGTCCAGGGCTTAGGGGTTTAGGGTTTAGGGTTTGTCAAGGGGTTTACGGGTTTAGGGCTCAGGGGATTTATAGAGCTTAGGGTTTGGGATTTAGGGCAATTTAGGGGTTGAGGGCTTAACGGCAAGCCCTTAAACCCTGGCTTTGCGGCTCTAATTTCTTGTTGTCTGCATCCATGATGCAGCAGCGTGGCGTGCCTCCGCTTGCTCCTGCATACATTGATAGGATCCTAAACCCTAAACCCTAAAGGGTTTCTACGCCTTCCGTAGTTGAACGGCTCATGCCCTCAGGTTCGCGAGTAGCTAGAGCTCGTGAAGTCTTCGGCTGAGGATTCGGATAGTTGTTCGGCTTGAAGCACTTCATATCATTTCTTTCCCGACATCTGTCCGGGAGTGTGAGTAGGGTGAAGGACACCTGTCATGCCCAATGCTCGAATCTCCTCATCCCTGCCCAAGTGCCGAAGCCCGCAACTTTGGTTTCATCCCCGTAGTGCAGATACGAGCATTTCGAAAACTAAAGACATAAGCACTGATAATAACGGCAGTGGTGGCGGTCCTGACAGCAACAGCAACCAGAAGAACAATAGCACAAATAAAACAATAGCCATGCTCAGCACCCTAAATCCTCAACGAAGTCGTGATGGGGCAGCTCGGGCCGTGAGATATGACTCAAGCCTTCACCGTAAACAAAAACGCGCCCCAAACCCTAAACCGGAAATCCTCCACAAATCGTAGCCCGGTGCCATACGCCTAAAGACTGAATCCT